GTATCATCATTAGTGTGTCAACATTGTGCTTTTAAAGTCACTCTGTTTGTTCACGAGCAGCCAAAACTGAACGTCATGTTTCATGGACACAAAGTCAGAATACATCCAGGCTGGTGTTGTGCTCAGTAAGTGCAATAAAGTGTGATGAAAATGTTTGCAGCGACTATAGAGTACACTATCTATGAAATGTTTTCTCACAATGATGACACACAGCTTTATGTACATTTCTTTGTCATATATGACAGAATATGTTTTTTGTTTTGGATGAAACAAGCTGTCTGAAGGCATCATATTGTGCTCTAACATATTATAACGGCCATTTGTGGCATTTTATAAACACACAATGAATTAAGTCAAGAAAATAACAGGCACATTCATTGAAGATTAAATTAATTGTTCATCCCCATTTGTTAGGTCATTGTTGTGGCTGCCTAAGAACACTCAAAATAACATTTTAAATTCCCTGTTTAAATAAGGATTGAATAAAAAATCCTGTGTTGTTCGAACAGAAACCTGAGCACAGCAGTGTTTTAAGTTACATACTCACGTCAGCGTGGTGATATACTCACAGTGACAATGTTAACATGCTGATGTGTTGCATGTCGGCATAGCGTGTTGCCATGCGAACATTAACTAATTAGCTTCAAAACATTTTTTCAAATATTTACAACTGAGGCATTTTTTATCATCAAAAAATAAAGACCTAATATCTGAGCCACCTTTGACAAATCTTGAAAACCTAATCATTACAAATCTGGCTAACAGGGGCCTAGTATCTTTGTTTTATGGGACTTTGATATCTCACGAAAAGGAATCATCCAAAGACAGATTAGAAGCATGGAAAGTCGATATTGGAGAGGATATACTTGAAGAAGACTGGGAAGTGGCATGCTTAAAGGCACAGCAAAATACAATTAATACAAAATTGAAATTGCTCCAGTATAAATGGCTGATGCAAACTTATATATTCACCCCAGTGAAATTGAATAAAATCTGTCCTAATACTCTAGATACTTGCTGTAAGTGTTTAGAGGAAAAAGGAACACTGTTCCAAACACACTGTTGTGTTTGGAAATGCTCAAAAGTACAATCATTCTGGCAGAGTGTGGTGGGGGCCATTTCTCAGATGGTGGGTAAGAATGTTCCCCTGCAAGCCAAACTCTGTATCCTGGGTATATTCCCTGAAAATTTGGTCGTCAACTCTAAACAATCAGTATTGATTGATTTTGGTCGTCTTCAAGCTAGAAGACTGATTGCTCTTTTCTGGAAAGATATACAATTGCCCTCTGTAAAGTTATGGTTGAAGGAGATTGCAACATACTATCTTGCATTAGAAAGACTTACATATATTGTTAGAGGGAAAAGAAAACAGTTTGTTAAAATATGGAAACCTTTTTTGGATTTTTTGGAAGATGAGAATGTTGTAATAACTTGAGGTCTTCAAGTTACTGCTGCTGCTGCTTTTTCAGTTATTTGTTTTTTGTATTTATTTTCTTCTGTCACTGTTTTATTTGTATTTTTATTGCTATTATTATTTATTTATTTTCTTTCTTTGATTGTTTTGTTGTATAGTACATTTATACATTGTTGCTATTACTGTGGTCATTGTTGTTTGTATGTTTTATTATATGTAAAAACCTAATAAAATATTGTTAAAAAAAAAACTAATTAGCTTCAAACACAAAGTGCAGCTGAGTCAAAGAGAGTATTTAATCTGTTGTCAGATTTGCACACGTAACGTATGCTGACAAGATGAACAGACTAAAGGAGCAGCTTGTAGAATTTACTTTAATAAAGTTTATGTAATAACTGTTAATAAATTCTGTGTACATATTTGAAATACATAGAATTCATAAACAGTAATTATTAGGGCTGTCAAAATAATGTGATAAATTTGGTAAATTAATCACAGAAAAAATGATTATTCGTGTTCTGTGGTGCCCTTTGTTTGACCCGGTGCGCCACTGAAGACCGCAGTGTCTTTGTCACATGATGGAGGCAGACGAGATGACGCTGCTCGGCCCCGTGAGCGAACATTTACATTTAAAAAAACGCCTTGATGGAGCTGTCAATAGGAGCGCTGTTCTCTGCAGTTTCCCAAAGAAGGAATATTTGTACCATCTGAGTACTTCAAGCCTGAAATATCACCTCAACACAAAGCATTTAGCAGCAGACCAGAAGGTCTGAGTTAGCATAGCCTCTGATGCCAACGCTAGCAGCCAGCCTCGTCACGCCACATTCAACCAGGTGCTCAGATGCAAACTGAGTAAGGCCCAATCCCAATACCCCCCTTGCCCACTACCCCTTGGCCCTCAAAATGAAGCAACGAGGGGTAGGGGTAGAAATCTTTCCCTAGGAATTGTGACACCACTCACTACTTCACCGCGTCTGTTACTTTCACGCATACGTAACTATTTTAAACAGGAAGCTGCGAGCCATCTACATTTCCATCCTGCATCTACAATGGAGTCTCCAGTTGAGTTCATCCTACCTTTCGTGTTTGCTGCATTCATCATGCTTCGTTTGATGAACAACAGATGACAGGGGACTTCTGCTAGCTAGCTAACCAGTTAACATTACGAGGCAGCATAGTTACACTAGCTGGCGTGTTATCGTAATGTGAAAAGTCTGACAATTTTGCAGAACAGGACAGATGCCAGACGCCAGATAGTGCGAGCTATCTAGCTAGCTAACAAGCAACCTGACGACGGTAACATTAGCTAGCTGGCTAGCTCTCTGTCAACTCCAATCTAGACATCGTGAATAGCAATAAAAACTTTTTTCCCCGTCTCTTGCTCGGTGGTAGCCATGGCGACGTCTACCCCTCGCTGGCAAGTCAGCATCTGAAATCCCTCGCTCCGAAGGGCTAGTTTCATACCCACTACCCCTCGTTATGCCCCCTACCCCTACACGCAAAAAGGAATTGTGACACCACTACCCCTCGCGGGAACGCACAAATGTAGGGGTAGGGCTAAGGGGGGGTGTTGGGACGGGCCCATTGTCTAACTGTAACCAACTAACTGCCGTACAAAATGGATCGTAATGGACTGCAGACCAGTTTGGGTGGTCGAGGACAGGGGGACAATTGTGTTCAAACTCCAGCAGCTTTACTACGACACATCTGCCAACATTCACTTGAACTGAAATCTTTTAAATACTTTCACAGCAAGATTTGATGTATGTGATTTTAGATTGATGAATTTAGATTTATTAAACACAGAGCATGTAATTAATAAGGTACTTTTTTTTAATCACTTGACAGCTCCAGCAATCATATAAACTTAATTAAAGTAAACCAGGTAAATTATATGAGCTACAGTTACATAAATTCTCACAGTATAGTCTCAGTTTTATTTGAATTAAACACATTAATGGTACTTTTTGGTTTATCCTCCTGAGACCTGAACTTTTGTTTGCAATGCATTTTTATTTTCGCCTAGCTATTCGGGATCAGTAGGACCTGATAAGTATAAAAAAATTAAACACTGTTGCCAAAAATCAAGTCATAATGTCCTCAAACAAAACGATAATAAAGTCCCCGTGTCTTCTACATTCTAACAACAGCGTCTCAGCTTGTTACTGCAGCTAAAACTACAAATGTCATTAATCATACATAAACAAGTTTCAACCATAAAATTTGATCAGGTTTTGGATCTTGTCCACGTTAGTGTCAGAGCTGATTAGTGTTTTGTGCTCTTACCCTAGATGGCACCAAAATGTGTCCACAAATGAGGACAACAGGTCTAAATTCAGCAGAGTGAAGTACCAGGTCCTGTAAACCCAAGATGTGATGTCCTAATATGAGGACGCAGGGTCTCAGGAGGATAAATCAGATTTACTTGAGTCAGTTGAATGGAAAATTTATTTGTAACTAAACAAAATAATTTCTTTGAGAGAATGTCATTTTGCAGGTATATGGTGATGAGCCAAAGTATTGGGTGCATTAAAACTTTGACCTGATGATGTAACCACACTGATTTCAAAGGATTACCAAAGATATAATTCATCCTGTGGAGAACAGGAATGTTTGTACCACATTTCATGACAATCCATCAAACAGTTGTTGAGATTTTCACTTAAAATCTAGAATATTAACATCATTGTGGCGCTAGAGCAAAAGCCTGAGCATGGTCAAAGTCAGTGGGATTCATCCTCTGAGGAATATGAATGTCTGCACAAACATCCATGCGGTGGTTGATTTGGTGGACAGATCGTCTCTTGAGTCCTGATGCTGTGAAAAGTGGCTAAAGAATCTGAATGTCACCAGTTTGAGAACAGATTCTTTTCAAAAGAGAGCAGCAGACGTGTGATTCACAGAGCAGCTCCATTCACTGCAGCGATTCAATTTCAGGTGGATTTTAAGAGTTTGACCTGAGAAGAAACTGTGGTGCAGAGGAGTTCAGGAAGAGCAGGAATCTGAACCACTTTCATACTTTCACAGCCTGAAAGTGTGATTTCTAAAATATCTACAGAGACTCTGCACAAAGAATTGGGTCAGATTATTTGGCTCTGCGACCCAGATCATGTTTCAAGGAGTGGATCTGGTAGTGGATGCCAAAACGAAGAATAGACATGAGTAAAGAAATTTGAAATCTTGTTTCAATTTCTTTACCAGGCTTAAGCATCTCAGTTGGCAGCGAATTACAATCCATTTTGCAGAATTATCCCATCTTTCTTTTTTGTGTTTAAGCCCTGACACAAATGTTTCTCACAGCGGGTGCACTGCTCGTCTTGTCTTCAGTGAATCACGCTCCTTTCTTCTGGCACTTCATGCTGCATTATCAGCAGCAGTCCCACTTTGTGTACACATGTTTTTACACCTCTGTGTCTCTTGCTAATTTGTATGCTCATGCTAATTTCTGTATCCACAATTACGTAAACAGGATTTACCCAGGGGGAGGACGAGTGAGGGAAGGAGGAGGGGGGTGAAATCAAATTAAATCATGCTCTGAATCTATTGTTTCCTGTTTGGCTGGCAGGATCTGACAGAGAGGACTTACTGGTGGTGTTGTATCTGACGCCATAGAACATCTCAGGACAGGGTCGTGCCACCATCTGGCCGGCGCTGCTCCTGGGCCAGCAGGTGCCGATGCCATCGATGGAAGTGTCACAGGAGAGTCCCGAGCCTGAAGCGTGAGGACAGAAGTGTCAAGACACAGACGAACATTCCTGGCATGGCTCTGGACTACATTTAGCTGTGGTGAAACTCTGACAATGATCTTAGCGATAAATCTAGGAGCCAAATAAGCTGTTTGTGTGCAGAGGATTTAATGATTACTCCTGAGCGTCGTCTCCTGCGGAACGTCGCCAAATCTATTTCCAGCATTGTTCCAGTCTTTGATGTTAGTTCTTATAATCTGAGTTCACATCAAACTTGCTTCCCTCGTGGGGTACTCCACAACAACTCTGTTTTGTAGTAGCTACACAGGCAATCAGTTACACACAGCGTGTGCGACTCACCGCTCCACTGACCTGTGGCGTTGCTCAGGGTCTGGTTCCAGGTGGAGGCCAGCGACTGTACTGCAATCCAGAGGGAGAGTTTCATCAATAACCTCAAATCTTTGTTTGCAGGCTTGAGAATAGGGCTATGAAAATCTCATTAGATTCAGCTTAACAGCTACAAAAGGGTGAGCATTAAAGGGCAACGGTAAACATTGGTGACAGACCTTTCCCCGAGCAATAAGGGGACGGTAGCAGGAAATATGAATCTAGACGTGCCCCGAGGGTCAGGCTATTACTTCTGCAATAACCGAAAGAGATTTCGGAAATAAGGATGTTCTGAAGGGGCGAAGTTCAGGCTTCAGTCGAATGCTTTCACATGTTTTATAACCGATGTTTTCACACTGATTTGTGTTGAAAATGAAGAATGAAAGGAAAACAAAATGAAGACAGAGTGGTTCTACTAAAACATCCCCAAACAGAAAAGGACAGCACTGGAGGTTTGCTCAAACGCCTAAAACAACATATATTTATGTCTTCAAGTGGTAAATTATGACCCTTGTCTGTCTGTTTTAGCGTCACAGACTGTCGTAGCAGCGCACGGCTGCGACGACAAGTTGTGATTGTGATTCAGGGGCGGCTGTTCTCTATAAAAGCCATGCTTACAATTATTTTTTTTAAATGCGTCTATCAGGAGATAATGAGATAATCCCATTATAATCACCAGTTAACAAAAGCTCATTTCCTCTCATTACTTTTAATGTGTATAAGAGATGAGGAGTGCCATCCCAGCATGCATAGACAGACTCTTAACAACAGGAACAACTGATCTAAGCTGTCAGATCAGGGACCGCCCTTTATTGATCAACACATCAGACTAAGCTTCAATCAGGGTCTAACACAGACAGAAACTGCATTGTGTCTTTCAGTTAGAGATCACATTCAGATCGGTCCTTCTCATCAAGTACCCCTCGCCATAATGTGTAGTTCAGGGTGGAGTCGAATGTTTAACTCCACCCACGCTGCACATGTTTGACTAACTCAACGGCACCACTGGAAAGTGGACATCAATACTTCATGAAGTACTAAATCATGAACACTGCAGCCTTGAAAACATATAAGACCAGTATATTTGTAACAAAGTCATGATCTGTAGTAAATCATTGGCCGCATATAAAGAAAAAAAGGATGCATTTGCAAACTGACCTCTTGGTTTTCTGGCAAAAGAGCGAAGCACAGTCTGGGTCAGCTGGAGGCTGCTCAGAGGCTGTGGGATAGAGCCAGCCGGCTGAGAGTCAAGCTACGGCCCATGGAGCATGCTAGAGGATTCATGAGGGCCGGATGGGCAGTCATAGCGGGTGAGAGGAGAGCCAAGGCCTGCAGAGCATGTTGGAGGCTCCATATCCAGGGCTGTGTGGACTCCTGCGCTCCCTCTGGTTCTCCAACATGCTCTGCAGGCCCTGGCTCTCCTCTCGCCTGCAGCAAGCCCCTCTGACCCAGGCTGTGCTCTGCTCCTCTGCCAGGGAGCCAGAGGGGGGGCAGGAGAGCGGCAGGGTTCATGCTCACAGCCTTCTGTCGCCTTTGCCTCAGTGTCCACATACCCCTGGACGTGGAGCTGTTATGTCTGTTTTTTAGGGGATTTGTGGGGTAGCATATTTGGCGGGAAAAGCAGTAGTCTACAATAATGCATATTATCTTCACATACTGTTGTCATATTGCTGCATCCTGTGGTCCCTCCACCTCACTCTCGCATATGAGACCACTTCGCATAGAGAGCAGACAGCAGCTTTGGAGACAGACCTTCAGTTAGCAGCTCATATTCAATCAGCGCAAACCCCAACTCCCTGCCGGATCTGCAAGCTTCTGTGCTGCCGTTACACAGGTCAGACCCAGCGCTGATACTGGCCACCAGCCTGCCGTCATCACCAGCGCTGGGTTAGCAGGTTAGCTCTGGCTGAGTTTGAATTGCTTCAGCAAGTCTGTCTCCGCCTCTCCAGATGAGGCAGAGGAACCGTGAGGCAGTAGCTAGCATGCTAAGTAGCAGTTAGCACAGTTGGAATTGCTAACACAGCTCAATGTTCGACTCTTTCCACATTGAGCACAGCCATGGATTGCACGCTGCACTTCACATGCAAGAAATTGAATTTTTAATGTGATAAATGATGTTATCTTGAGAAATCTGACTTTTTTTTTGTTGTTGTTTATTATTTATTTATAACCAAAATGTTTTTACTTACAAACTGCAGTTCAAGAAATATGCTCTCAAAACAGTTTCATATGATTGCAACAAAAAGACACAAAAATACCTCCATGGGCACAGGGTACAATCTGAGCCTGTTTTACAAATGTTTATTTCCAACTCCGACTGTACGAGTAAATTCTTTGTGATCTAAAGTCCAAACTCACGATTTCTGTGTTCATACTGTTTGTGTAAAATACAAGATAAAACAGCCCCTTGGCCCTCATAGTCTGTTCTGTCTATTGACAAAGGTTCGTTTGAAAGTTCAGAGTTCATCTCTGCAGATCTCTCATGTTACACCTCTTTAATTAACACTAATGCATTATTGCCAATATTTCTCTTGTTCATATGGGTTGTGACAGCAGGAGAAGGAAACATCAAAGAGGCATGTAGAGTGTTGCCACAGTTGGATCAACCTGGCCTTGATATTTTCTCTCCACATGACGCAGTGTGTCGCCATGGCGCTTTCACACACTCTGTTTGCACCTGCGCACAGGCACAGTGAGAAGAAAGAAGCACTGATCTCAGCGAATCGGCTCATGGCTCTGCTTCAACTGTGTGAGAGCCTGATGACAACCGATCAAAATTTCAGACACGTAAGGAATTCATCCAAACATCCGATAAGTGGTTGGGAGCAGCTGATCGGTTTTCGCTCCCCCTGTGCGCTCATGAAGGTATAATAATCACTACAAAGATGGCGCCTAGTCATTCCGACGGAGCTGCTCACCTGGGCCATACGGCAAAAAAGTTTCTAGCCTCCAGATTTACGTCTGTGGTATGCAGCCCTCTGAATATGTGCATTAGTGTCATAATTTACTTGTTGGAGGTGTCCTGTGAACAGATTTACAGACGTCTCATTTTGAGTGGCGGACTATGGGGAAGATGCTTTTTGGGCTGCAGTTGATTTTTTTTTTTCCAATGCAAATGACAGCCAACAAATTCAAAATTGGTTCAGACTCCAAAGTGAGTCGTGTGGCTCAAAAATCAGGTTAGAAACAGGCTCAGATTGTACATGTGCGGGGCCACTAGCTCTCTGTAAGTCTCAAAATTTATTATGTACATGTTGCATGTACAGCATGCTAACTTTAGCCGCTGGTGAACCTACATTCAGGAGTCATGCTAAGCTAGCTTCGGTCTGGAAATACCTTTACACTGTAGGCTGACCATAACGTCTTATTTTCTATTTCTCTGCTAGAAGTCCACAAATATCTTAACAAGTAATAAAGTAAAACATTTGCATAATGTCGGTCTGAGAAAAAACTGTTTACACATTGTGACCCCAAATAATGGGACGCCTGCAGGTTAAATAAAATATGTAGCTTTTTGCTAAGTCTACTATAACAGAGCAAAGAAATCTCACTCACTGTCTTCTATACTTTCACTAATCAGGAATTCAGTGCAGAGACCTTCATCATGTTATTCTGAAATGAAAATAACCTGATGAAGGTCTCTGCACCAAAATGTTGTTCCCAATAAACGGAAGTTTTCTGTAAGTGTAGAGGACAGTGCGCAGGAGTTCTTTGCTCTGTTATATTCTGTCCATGGTCTTCTCCTGTGCACCATTTCTGTCTTTAGTGTCATGTTGCTTTACATTCTTATGGGTCGTTTTGTTTTGTTATTAACCTCCCATCAGACCTCAGTCATCAGTTCCCGGCCAGTATTTGTATGTGGGGCCCATATGGGTGGTAAATGGGTTGAAAATGGTTTGAAAATGATTGTCCATTGGTTCCATATTGGCCCCATGCCCACTGCCCACATCAATGGCTTTACCCAAGTGGGCCTCACATGGTTACGTGAGGGCTACTGGGTACCAAGTGGGTCTGAGCTCAAAATGGGCATCTTATCTGGGGTCCACCTATGGCTAAGCCCCGCCCTCAAATGCAATGAGCCAATCACAGTGCGTATAGCCATTCCCATACACTGGGACATTCTCTGCCTGGACGTCCATTGAAATGCATTACAGAAAGTCAGTTTGTTCGGTTTTATGAAGTTTAAAAATGGTCAAACGGTGTGCATGGGGTACATGCAACTCTGACACAAGGTATCCTGAGAGGCTGGGCGACCAGGTGTATTTTTACACTTTAAACCACATCTCAAGCGAGAAAAGTGTCTCCTTTGGATAAAGTTGTGTGGTAACGTTAGACCACAACATCAACTCAACGTGAATAAGATTAACAATGATGTCTACATCTGTTCTAAGGTAAGTCAACATTGTGTTTGAGGCAACATATTGTCACTTTGCTGGAAAGAAATATAAAGTTATCTTTAACATCTCTAGCTAACGTTAGCTAAAGTTAGCCTAACGTTAGCTCCTAGCTGCGTTGTTCATCATGTCACCTTGTTTGCTGGGAGTTCATTAGCCTATTTTGTTCTAGTTTTGTACTTTGGTGATCGTACATCATTGTTAGCTGTTGTCCAAAGGGCTCTAGTTAAGCTAACGTTAACTTCTGGAGCTTAGCTTCATTAACTTATCTGTAATGGCAGAGATAACAAAGGTTGGCAAACGTTATGCTGAATGATTCAGTGTAAATACTGTAGCACCAAACTAACGGAGAGACACTCTTGGTAAAGATGGTAAAAAGGCTGTTACACAACAGTTAGTTCCGGCCCTGCAATCTGATTGGTTGAGAGACAGTAAAACCGTGATGATATTGGAGTAGAACATCACAGTTATTTCACTGTGTATGTATCACTCCGCCTCACAGCTGATTGCAATCAACAATCGAATCAAAACTGACGGTTAGTGTCAGTTAGGTCAGCAGTTGCGTTGTAGGCTAATTAATTCATCCACTGTCAAACAGCCAAAAATATGGATTTATTTCCTAAAATAAGTTTTGAATTGAACTATGAATGGTCATCAGAGGAAGATGAGGGAGAGGAGAAGCTGAATCCATCTGAGCACACATCCAGGTTTGTCAGTGTTTCATCAGCGGAGCTCAATGACTTGGAGAAAAGCAACATACTGTCAGATCAGAAGGCAGAGTCTGCTGTGTCTGTGAAGCTACAGTCCACCATGCAGTCACCATAGACTTATTTCACCAGCTGCACAATTAATGGAAACATGCAGATAAATGTGTATAAAGAGTAAGTGCCTGGCGCACCATGTCTGCGTTACATAGCAACGGTGACAGCGGAGTCCTGAGGGAACTATTTTTGTTGGCGGAAGACAAATAAAATGCTTAAATTATCTATTTTGTCCTCATTTTTCAACATTTCTTAATTAGCCTTGCTTATTTAACTGTTGAACTGTTGTATAAAAGGCTGTGATTGTCAACCGAATCACAGCCGTGACGATATCACAGTACAACATCACTCCATCTCGTGTGATATTGCTTAATTATTCTTTTCTCATATTCTGAGCCAGAAACCATGAAATCATTTCATAATTTTCAATATTGGTGGCAATACGATACCTGAGCTTCAGTGTTGGTATAAAAACAATATGTTTTCATGCACAGAATGTGTCAAACTGCTCGATGCAGCAGAGTTGAATAAAGAACTTTGAATAAAACATAAAAGACTCTGAAGTTTGAAAAGTTTCCTGATTTAAATCAGATCTGATCAAAAAGGAAATAAACAAGACGAAGAATCTCATTCTAATTCAGTGCCGACTTCTGATATTAATCAGAACTGAAACAATTCAATTTTATTTATAAAGCCCAATATCATAAATCACAATTTGCGTCACAGGGCTTTACAGCATACGACATCCCTCTGTCGTTCAGTAAGAGACACTGAGGAGGGATCCCTCTCCCAGGACGGACAGATGTGCAATAGATGAAAACAGGCATATAGGGTTTTATACTTTTTTTTGGTTGATCAAGAGAAATTATTTAACTACTATTACATCTCTTCAGATAATCCATTGATCGTATTTAAGTCATTTTGTGCAGCAACAACACCAAACAGTCTCTGCTTCCAGCGTCTCCAACGTGAGCATTTGTTGCTTTTCTGTTTTATGTCGCTGTAAACTGAATATTTTGGGTTTTAAACTGTTAACAGGACAAAACAAGACAATTAACGCAGCATCTTGGGCTCTGAAAAAATGTCATGGGCATTATTTATTCAATCTTTGATATTTTGTAGACCCAGTGATTAAATGATTAGTCATGAGCTGCAACAGCTTCTTGATATCTGAACCTACAGACATATTTCAGTCGGCGTTGAAAAAGTACAGAAGTTCAACACCCGGTCGAGTCATCATCACTGAGCGACGTGACAGCATAATAACACAACACAGACAGCATTGTTATTATCTGTTAAGAGCTACCTGGGACATCTTTATTAGTTTTAAACCCGGAGGCGAATAAAAGAAGAAGATTCCTGTGCACCTGTGTGTGTGTGTGTGTGTGTGTGTGTGTGTGTGTGTGCGCTCCCTGGGTGTGTGCTGCGGTTTAAAGTATTTAATAACCAACTATTACTGTACTTGTGAGGTCTACGTGGAGACAGAATAATAAGAAAAAACATTTTGCCAATAAACACAAGAGGAGAGCTGTGATTGAGGACGAGGGTTTGGCCTTCAGCGGGGGTGCTGGTGAAACATAAAAGACTGAAAATCAATTCAATCACAAGTGCAGTAATTTCTATAAGCAGACTCAGCTTATCTACATCTGAGTGCAGGATCTGTAGGCAACAGGACAAGACTTGGTATCTAAAGCAGTCTGGTTTCCATTCAGGCTGTTCTCATGTACTGTTTGTACGTTTTCCTACAAAAAGCAGCGCATCTAAATCTGTACAAATCTTACGCAATCATGAGCCAGTAATTTGTGTATAACCCATGTAGTATGGAAGGCTGCGATCACATGACCCATGTGCTGACAGGAGTGAACAAGGAAGTGGTTTTGAGCAGTCTAGTAAGGTGGGAGGTTAGGGTGGTGGACTGGTCACAAAACACAGGACTTTCCCCTGGAGACCGCTGTTCTCAACTGTGTGAACTTTGAGTGAACTTTGGGTTATTTTAAGGTACGTCCTCACCATGTTTCTTTACCGTCAGTAATGGGTAAGATATGTACATATATAGATTCACGGGCATTCACTGTCATCTCCAATGTGTGTGCAAAACTCCTCCTTCCTTTTTTTGTGTCACCCAATGTCTGCATGCTAAGCCAGCCAGCACTGGTAGCCTGCTAGCTGTGTGACATACAGAGTGCATGCATAATGAATCACAAGTCATTTAACAGAATATTACACATGGCTGGTCACACACCTGACGGGCCGACCTCAGCACGTATTTGTAGCGATACATTACTGGTCCTGTTTTTGTCTCTGTACTCTGACAAAATCAACTGTTCTGCCATTTCTGTCTGTAAAGAGACGCATTTCCTTGCTTTGAACACTGAGGGCGCACTCTGTATACTATACGGAAATACAGACACAAAACTAAGTGGAAATGAGGCGTAACGCACTACAGTTTGTAGATCAGGAAGGCTGTGATCATGTGACTAATGTGCCGACAGGAGTGAAGAAGGCAGGATGGGGTGGTGGAAGGGTCAAACAACACAAGACTCTCCCCCAGGAGACCTGTGTGTTTATATGTTTCTTTTCCTACACCTAACCTATGTAACTATGTGTTAAGAACATAATGTCATTCGGGGGGTGCTGATTCCTTACAAGTCATGCACACTGTTGCATGTGCGTCTGGGAGCTCTGTGACCGTCTCAACCTCTGCTCTGAGTGCACCATTGCCTGATAACCTGTGCTCACCTTTGTAAGAATGCAGAGCAACAATCCTGAGTTATTTTGGTTAAATGACATGAGAAGTTGGACTGAGTGTCAAACTGTGGACTAGTTTTATTTCTAAACTTGGAAAATGAGTCAAACTAGACTGAATACTACATGAGTATGAAGACATACAGAATATACTCCTCTTATTGTTCTGTAACTTGTGTGTTTGGTCTCCAGCCTGTACACATGATGAAACTGATAGTGTGCTTTGTAGCCTGCTTGTGCTGGGCACCATGCCACATACTACACTGATATCAGAATACAGATTCCCCCCCCCCCCTCATCTGAGCATGGGCAGATTATGAGACAACGGGCCCCAGGGTACACATGCAAACGTCCCCACCACCTCTCCTACAAAGGAACAAGACACAAAGACTTTGTCCTGGTTTTATGTCTCCTTGCGGTTGGTCGGGTCTTTTTGTAGACGTTTTGTGTGTCTTTTCACTTCCTTTACATCTCTTTGTAATATTTATGTAACTCTTTGTGTTGTGTAACACAACACAGAAATTTGCATTGTGTTTTGTGTGCGTATGCAAGTCAATGTGGTGTCCATTTATTCCTACGAGAAACTCAATCATCAAGTTTGAACACTAGAGTATTTTGTGTTGACTCGCTTCATACGAACATGAAAACGCTGAACTGATGAATGAACTTCTGCTGGTACGTCCTCAGCATCATGCGTCCCTGAAGGATCTTAATGCTGATTGGCTATCGCGGCGCAAATTGGTCGCTGAAATTCAGCTTTATAAACTCTCACGAATAAGTGTACAGTATGACTTGAAATACTCGCTTTATTTGCCCTGCTTAACTTGCATATTTCGTGTCATTAGCATCACATCCATCCTGCTGATCGGGGGGTTGTTCGCCATTAATCGGAGTGGTGGCCCTTCCTCTTTTTTTCAAAGAGTCCGCCAATCCGAATTCTGTTCCCTGAGTCCTGACAGTAGCTGTATTTCCCAGGCCATCAAATCACAGCATCTGCGGTGAGAGGACACGGAATTGTCTGCGCTTTTATGCACAGGTCGGTGGTGAAGTGGTGTACGTGACTCGTGCTGCGGCCAGACTGACGAGCCACGTATCTCGGTGCCGCTTAAAAACAGTTAATACATCTGGCTACATCTTTCCCACATCAAATATCTGTGATCGCCTAGACCCGTGCGTAAAAGCGCACACAATTCCGTGTCCTCTCACCGTGGATGCTGTGATTTGATGGCCCGGTACTCATTGTAGCCCATTCTTATAAGACCCAATAATAACAATAATAATAATAAGTTACTGTGGACCTATATGCCATGCTTTTTAATAAAATGATCACAGGTAACAAACATGCATGGGAAATACGGCTTCTACAGGCTCGCCATAGCTCACTGTCAGGACTCAGGGACCAGAATTCGGGATGGCGGACCGTCGGAATGGCGATATTTCTGAGTGGTGGCCTGTAACCCCTGCTGCTCGGCAGGTATTTGTGTCTAATCGCGTCTTTACATTGACTTCAAAGGTAACTCACTCGCGCAAATGGTTTTATTCACACCCACTGTGAACAGAACATTAGTCTTTGGAGGTAAACGTACGAACAGTGCATGAACATCTTGCAAAGAGCGCTCTGCTACCTCCTGCAATACCTCGTCCATGTGGGTGAAAGCGAGTCCCATCTGTTGTCTGCTGGCTACACTGGAAGGCCTGAAATACTGGCCGTTGCCCTCAGAGGCTAAATCGTCATCAGGCTAATAGCCGACGGGTTCAGAGAAAGCAAGTGTAGTAACAGTGATGCAACTTGAAACACTCGGGACGTAACTGCTCTTTAGAAAGCCTGTAACAGCTGCTGTTGTTGTAAACACCAAACTTACATGAAACATTTCCTGACAGCATGAGCAGAGCTTCACATGTCAGATCTGATAAACAGCCAGAAGGCAGGAGGCTGATGATGGCACACACCTGCAAACACAGAAAAGTCACAAGTCAGTGAAATCAAATATTAAGAGAACGTTAGAGTAAAACACAGCTATCTCCTCACCTCACGCTCCTTTAATTCCCTCACGTACGGCAGACGAATCTGAATCCAACTGAAAGACTCTCGGTGCCCTTGAGCAGATGATGCATGCATTAACAACTCCTTTAGTTGGAGCACTTTGTAGTCTGTAATCATTTTAATCCCCGGCACAGTCTTTCATGTTTACAGATACGAGGGTTCAACAAAATATAAAGGCGAAGAACTTCTCCTTCGTGGAGGGCTGTGATGCTAAACTCAAAATATTTCTGTTTATGCATGGCGTGCATAGTTACAGTTAGCCTACTTTACATGTGTGCGAAGGGAAAACATTAAATAATGCACATAATAAACAGGAGGGGTTGTGTGTGTGTGTGTGTGTGTGTGTGTGTGTGTGTGTGTGTGGTTGGGTCTCGTGTGTGTGTGGCTTTGCTTATTTTAACCATGACTACAATGTGAGATAGCATCTGCTCCATGTACACACCAGGGATGTAAACGTTGAGTTAAATGGCAGTACAGTGGATTAATTTTTCATTCACACACTTTGATCTCATCTGGGTTTCCTGTGACTGCTGGAGACAGTCCAGTGAATGTGTGCATTGTGCCGCACGTTGAACTGGTGACCAGTGATCGCTGCTGGCACACAGGCAGCGTCTGTCACAACCGCTTTATGAGACGCAGGAAAGACCACAAAAGACTATAAAATGTCATCAGTTCCCTTTTTGTTTGGTCGCTCTCTAATTGACCCCAAACTAGGTTACATGTCGGCACAGCTGTCCTTGAGTACCGACCTGTTCCCTGCGGACACGAGAGGGCGGTTACTATTACCCATAAAGCCAATGTTTCATTTCCTCCTTAAATAAATCATTCCTCTCAATAATGCAGCATCTCAGCTGAGTCACCGAAGGAACACGTTGGCATTGTATGTTTCTATAAACCATGATACCTTATATTTACATGTTTGATACGTATCATATCTAGAGAGACGTAGTATATGAGCTGACTGTCATTGAAACCAGTTGTTCTTTAGCGACTCATCACTTTGTTTTAAGCAGCTTTTTATCCACTACTGTGGCTCTTCTTAGCGACGCATTGCTGCGTGTCTACCCAGGATAGTGCCACCAAAAGCGGCTGTTTTTAACCAAGCGGTCGCTGTGTTTTCTGTCAGAATAGTGGCACGACAAGCGTTTATCTTTTACCAAGACATTGCTGTTTTCCAGGCGGGTGTGTGTAGTGACACAAAAAGCAGTTGTTTTGTACTGAAATGTTGCTGTTTCCACCGAGGATAATGCCGAGAAAAGTGGTTGCTGTTAACTGTGACATTACTGTTTTTCCAGCTGGGATAGAGGTGCAAAAAGTGGTTGTTTTTTACCAGCACATCACAGTTTCCACTGAAGGTAGCGCCACGAAAACTGATCCCTTTTTACTGAGACATGGCTGTTTTCCAGGCAGGATAATGGCTCAAAAAGGAGTTGGTTTTTACAAAGACAAAGGCTGTTTTTCAAGATGGAATAGTGGAACGAAACACAGTTGTTTTGTAGCTGCACATCGCTGTTTCCACAGTGAACATAGTGCCATGAAAAGCAGTTGTTTTTTTTACTAAGACTTTGCTTCATTTCCTGCTGCAATAATGAAACATAAGCAGGTGGGTTTTGTTTTTTAATGGGACATCCAGCAAAGATAGTGGCACAAATAGCAGTTGTATTTTAGAAAGACATAGCTGTTTTTCAAGTTGGGATTGTGGCACTAAAAGCAGTTGTTTTTACTGAAATGTTAGTACTTCCACTGAGGATAGTGCCACGAAAAGTGATCTCTTTTTACGAGACATTGATGTTTTTCCAGGCGGGATAATGGCTCAAAAGACGAGGCTGTTTTTCAGGATGGTGCAGTGGAATGAAAGCTTTTGATTTTTACGGAGACATCAAAAAGCAGAAGTTTTTTCTAATGAGACATTAGCTGCAACAGTTGTACAAATAGCAGTTGCGTTTTAACAAATACATGGCTGTTTGTCAAGATGGGATCGTGGCAAAAAAGCAGTTGTTCTTACTGAAATATTGCTGTTTCCACTGAGCATAGTGCCACGAAAAGTGGTTGCTTTTCACCAAGGGGTCACTGTTTTTCAAGATGGGATAGTGACATAAAAAGCAGTAGTTTTTTTCACCAGCATGTCACTGTTTCCACGGAATATAGTATCCTCAAACGTGTTTTTATACAGGGACACTGCAGCAACTCAAGCTGAGATAGAGGCATTGAAGTGGTTGTTTTTAACGAGACATAACTTTAGCTCCTGTCGGCATAGTGGAACAAAAAGGGTTTTTTAATGAGACATCAGTGCTTTTCCAGCTGGGATAGTGCCACAAATAGGAGTTGTTTTTTTTACCAGCACATCACTGTGCCATGAGCGATTGTTTTTTACTGAGACATTACTGTGTTACCTGCCGACATAGTGCCACAAAAAGCGTTTCTTTTTTACAGAGACATGGTTGCATTTTAAGCCGCGGTTTGTGCTGCTAAAAGTGGGTGTTTAAAACCTGATCTTTCACTAACCATACCTCAGTGTTTTTTGTCCCTAAACACAGTGCTGTTGAAATGTAAAGCAACACAGCATTTCAACGTCTTTGCTTCATAATAATGTACAAATGTAAAGTATCCATGGTTTGCAGAAATACCAACATTTATCCTGGCGACTGGGTTGAACATCTGTCAGAGTGAAGTGCTTTAAATTAATGCCTGTGTCATGAATGTGTCACTCTTAAAGAGCACTTTCATACCTGATGGTTACAGCAGCGTGAAATGTAAAATACCAGCAGTCTGTGGTCACAACTTGTTAAAGGCTACGCTGCCCCAGATTTCAAAGACGGCTCTGCTAATGGCTCACTGCATCTGTTTCACGCTCACTGAATCCTGGGCAGGTATCGGAGCACAGTAACCTACTGTACCGCTGCTGTCCACCTCCTTCCAAGTAATTAAAGCTTAACAACTGACTGACAGACAGCCACCATGTGACGACAGGATCAAACAGGCCTGTGTTTATATCAGCAGGGTGTCATTTTCCCTGGTCGAAGAAATATACAGATCGGTTACTCGAGAAAAGGCAATAAAATAATGTAGAAATACAGATTATAAGTAGAATTCACGCCTTTAAAATTACACTTAAAGGGACAGTTCACCCCAAAATCAAAAACACACATTTTCCTCTTCCCTGTAAAGCTGTTTATCAGTCTAGACTGTACAGGTAACTGTAACATGTAACGCATTTCATTGAGTTTTACATGTATTAAAGGAATATCATCACTGATGCGTTGATGTGCGAGCGGCATTTTTGTTGTGTTTGGTTAAAGAGCTGCAAAAATATTTCCATCTATAATCAAGTCCTAAATTCATTCCGTATCCTGTTAGGGGTCATGGGGGGGTGGAGCCTATCCCAGCTGACACTGGGTGAGAGGCAGGGTTCACCCTGGACAGGTCACCAGACTATCACAGGGCTGACACATAGAGACAGACAACCATTCACACTCACATTCACACCTACGGACAATTCAGAGTCACCAATTAACCTGCATGTCTTTGGACTGTGGGAGGAAGCTGGAGCACCTGGAGGAAACCCACGCTGACACAGGGAGACCATGTCAGAGCACCTGGAGGAAACCCACGCTGACACAGGGAGAACATGTCAGAGCACCTGGAGGAAACCCACGCTGACACAGGGAGAACATGTCAGAGCACCTGGAGGAAACCCACACTGACACAGGGAGAACATGTGGGAGCACCTGGGTTTCCTCCCTCCAGGTGCTCCCACATGTTCTCCCTGTGTCAGCGTCAGCCGCTTAAATTAAACAATTTTTATAGGGCAAGTAAAAACTGACTTCGGGCAAGTAGATCTCTGACCAACTTGGCCGACCGGGCAAGTGAAAAAAAACCTTAGCGTTGAACCCTGGACTATACAACTTACAGAGCACGTTTTTGTCTTTGTGTTAAATTAGTGACACATGTTTGCAGCTGAATATCATGTCCTATAATTTCTTCTGTAATATCTACACATAGAGTGTCAGCTTGCTTCTGCTGCAGGATTTAGACACAAACTCTTTCACATCACTGTGGAGCACGAACTGAAGTTTTATTTCACCTGAAAATTGTCACTAAAAACACAAAACGACGTCCTTGAAACAAAGAGAACAAAGTAGAAGCACTTGAATAATGAAAAAGCTGATCTGAGAAAAAGTCTTAAAACAAGTTGATTTGCATTGAAAGCAGGAGCAAATATTCAAACTAGACCTTTTTTTCTTTTAGTTTTTATTTCTTAAAAATTAACTTTAAAGACTCAATGTCAGACTGAAATGTCTCAATAAGTGGGAGATGTTTCACTGCACAGTGCCTCACATTGTAGAAGCTGATCGCGTGTTTTTTATAAAGAATAATCTGCAAAATACGCAACACAAGTAGACGCTCGATGTGGAAGAGAATGCAGTGAGTAGCATCACTTAAGTAGAGTATTTCTACTTCATGCTACTTTACCCGTCTTATCCACTACATTTTATTTAACTGCACTCACCATATCTATCCGACAGCTGCAGATTCAATAAATTATTAGCTATTATTACAGGTTAAAATAAGACCTCATTGTAAAGGTATAAAGTATATTTTGGTGCTCAGACTTTTGACCTCAAATAAATATTTAAATGCACGACCTCTGCTTGTAACCGAGTATCCGTACGCTGTGTTGCAATGACTTTAAGAGCCGAGTGCTTCTAAACTGAACTTACAGTACTTGAGTAAATGTACTCGGTTACTTTTTGACCTTACAGCAGACATGTGATATGTGAGGGGCCCTGCTGGTCTTAAATCACAACAATGGGGACGTGAATAGAAAGCAGGGAGCAGGAGAGCTTTCAAAAGAAGGGTTCAGAAGATTCTTGACTATTCTTAGTGCGGCAGCTCTCTCTCTCTCTCTCACACACACACACACACACACACACACACACACACACACACACACACAATGGGTAGGAGGTAGTGATGTGAGTCACCTCTGGCATCTGTAACAACATCAGCATGTGCAGCTAACCACATGTCCTTATTGTTGGGAGCAGAGCTGACACCAGATGACTCATCTCACAGGGAAAAGACTTAAATATGTTAATTGGACTTTTCATGACGGGATCCCAAACATGCCTGAGAACAGGAAGTGCACTTGCTGCATTAACACTTCTAATCTCCAGTGTCCCAAATCCGGGTTTTTTCAGCATCAGCATTTGAGCCCCGGTCCCATAAAGAGGGAGGAAACATGTCACTCGGGAGGGTTTTCTCATGCCATCTTAACCCAAAGTCCTGTTCGTGTCTCTCTGTTTACGAGCGAACACGTCATTTGCACCCTCGGCTCTTATTCCTAACTCATATGATGCAGAGTGTTGTTGGTGTGTTTGCAGCGCTGCAGCGGGAAGGTGCGGAGCAGAGGAACAAGCTTCCTGTCCTGGCTCAGAGCTTTTAGTTCAGGGGAAGGTTTTAATTTAATGGATGATATTTTTTTAGCTGTGAGATGGAGACAATATCCAAAACTGACATCTGGACGGGATGATGTGTTAAATCCCCGCGCACCAAGATTATACTCAGCTGCAATCCGCCGGAATAAGGCAGATCTGTTATTCAGATATTTTAATTAAATGTCCAAAAGCAGGTTTGAAGATGAAGCGGACGCGCAAAAGGCGCAGAACTTACCTCAAGCAGACAGAAGCATTTGCGACGCATTTCCACACCTTTTATTTTTCACATAGTGTCCAGGTGTGACGGTAAATGTCTTCTTGTGACTCGGTGACAGTGTTGTATCCTCCCGGAGTCTCCTCTGACTTTAAATGTGCAGAGAAAAGTCGCACAATTTGTCGGAAAATAAATGTTGTTGTTGGGAATGTGACTTGTGTCCACAGAGAGAGACGCGTGGACACAATCAGGTGTCCAAACGAGCTGCTCGGATCATACTGGGATCCAGTAATGAGGAGATGTGTCAGCTGTCCTTTCCGTTCGGGTCGGTTTCTCGCGAAACGAAGTCAGTTTGTGTTACCGGACTGGAAACCGGATCCACCTTGGAGAGACGCGCACCATCAGACGGACACTCCCGTACCTTTCACGTTTGGCCCCGGACCAAAAAGTCCTCTTGCATGCATGCGTTACTCCGCCGGTCACACCGTCATGTCCCCTCGCTTCATATCCAGCTTGTGAGTCCTGCGCGGAGCCGCTGCGCTGCTTCACACCGTCTCCTCGACGCGCCGCCCACGTTGTGCCATTTACACCGGGACTATGCGACGCGGCTGAGGAATAACTCCGCTCCTCGCTGTGGAGTTAATTATGCAACGGCTCTCCGCTGTTCCAGATCCTAATCTTTAATCTCTTTGCAATCTAGACGTCACTGCTATGAGAAAGTTAACGCAAGAGCCCGGGGTGAAGTGATTTTGGAGAGAGCAGAGGATCCGCGCGCATTACTGAAAAGAGGAGAAGCTCATCCAGAAGGGAACCCTTTCAACGTGTGTCCCCGTTTGCAGCTGAATTAGTGCCAAGCTCAGTCAGAGTTAATAGATTTGGCTGTGAGCTAAGGCGCACAGATGGTCCCCACTGTGTCAGTAAAGTTAAGCATCTCCCCCGGGGGGATCTTTTTAAATAAAATCCAATGCAAATGAGTCCTCAAAACATGCTCTGCACAAACACACAGAAGATTTAGACTTTTTCAGATTAAAGGCACAATTAATTCATCAATCAGTCAGGATCCTCAGAGGATTAAATTTGATGGGTCCTCTGATGATTAAAGGAAAATACATTTTCACAAACTATGTTTATCTCTTCTCTGATTTTAGACTCTCTACATTTGTGACAGCTGTTTTTTTGGCCACTAGAGGGCAGCAGAAACAAACTGTAAACACAACACTGACATATTGTCACCTTTTATGTGCCAATTCCTCAAATACCGCCATTTTGTCAGCGGCACACTTTGCAGTGGTACAATATGCACTAGTCTCGCCACCAGACAATCAGAGATCTCCGCCTTCTGATAGTCTGGGGACACTCCTCTCTAAAGTGTGTTTAACACACCGGAGAAAACGGTCAGCAACATAGCAACGCCTCTTGCATTTTTGAAAAGGACACGCCCTCCCAGAAATGTGTGCTCCCCCTTTTCTCGTAGGCAAGGAAACAAACACACAGTGAGCTTGAAAATGGATGCCGAGAGATTTAACTCCGTTTTATCAAACGTGTGCTCAGTCCACAAGATTGTGGAAATGAAGGACTTACAGCGACTTTTAACGCAGTCGGACTATGTTTACTAGCACAAGAGTTCAGCGAGCCACCGAAGGACCGCCCTGCGGATTTACTATTGGTTCTGCAACGTAGGGAGTTTTTTTAAACTCTGAAATTGTATCCGCCCATCTAAACACAAAATCAGGGAGAAAGTCGTCAGTCTTTAGTTAAGCAAAGCGTCTAAAGACTGACTTGTGAGTCTAGATATGCACAGAGCCAGCACATTTTCACTCTGACCTCGTCACATACCAACATTTGGTACGTCACTATGTTCACCAGCTCCTCACATCTTTCCACAGATGGACAGAAACGGAGAGAAATTAATTTTGTTGTTTGTTGTCGACCAGTCTCTTGGAAAATACACATGGGGCATTACTGAGATAAAAACAGGACCAATAGGAACAAATAAGTGAGGAGGTCGGTCTGGCAGGTGAACTGTGGGCCTGTACGTCAGACAGCTAGCTAGCATGCTTACAATGTTAGCTAAATAGGTGTTGAGCTTTTCACCTTTTTGCAACTGAACTGAATTGACCTATGGCTAAGCCCCGCCCTCAAACGCGATGAGCCAATCACAGTGCGTATAGCCATTCCCATACACTGGGACATTCTCTGCCTGGACGTCCATTGAAATGCATTACAGAAAGTCAGTTTGTTTGGTTTTATGAAGTTTAAAAATGGTCAAACGGTGTGCATGGGGTACATGCAACTCTGACACAAGGTATCCTGAGAGGCTGGGCGACCAGGTGTATTTTTTACACTTTAAACCACATCTCAAGCGAGAAAAGTGTCTCCTTTGGATAAAGTTGTGTGGTAACGTTAGATCACAACATCAACTCAACGTGAATAAGATTAACAATGATGTCTACATCTGTTCTAAGGTAAGTCAACATTGTGTTTGAGGCAACATATTGTCACTTTGCTGGAAAGAAATATAAAGTTATCTTTAACATCTCTAGCTAACGTTAGCTAAAGTTAGCCTAACGTTAGCTCCTAGCTGCGTTGTTCATCATGTCACCTTGTTTGCTGGGAGTTCATTAGCCTATTTTGTTCTAGTTTTGTACTTTGGTGATCGTACATCATTGTTAGCTGTTGTCCAAAGGGCTCTAGTTAAGCTTATGAGACGAGGGACGTTTCCATCTGAATAAATGGACTTCCACTGGACTCGCGTACATACACAGAGCAATGTGGAGATGAGGCATTTCCTGTGGTTATATTTAGGCACAAAAACCAGTTGGTTGTAGTTTGGAAGAGATCCAACACATTCTCACTCCTATCTCACCAAATACTGTCATACTCAGTGGCTCTACACATCAGCATATGATGCTCCAGGTGCCCCTACAGCGTCAGTTTTGGACGCGTGTCAATTTATGATTGTTACATGCGTTGTTTATTTTTTCAAAGCGTACTTTCATTTTCAGAAGAAATGTACACTTCCTGCTCATGAAATGCACACAACCTCTTTTCAAAATATACTTTAAAGAAAAAGAAACTAAAAACTTCATCTTTAGGGATTTTTTACTTTGTTACATTTAGGCAACAACTGCACCTGGTTCGATTTACGTCACACGACTTCACATGACTTACGGTTTACTCTTGGTTTTACACCAGCACACGAACAGTAGTTCAGTGTTTGTTCAACCCATCCACCTCTATTCCCGCCCACCTCATGTGGACTTTCTCACTCGTTATTCAACAGCAGTCAAAATTCACTGCAGCCTGGTGCATCTCATATCGCTGCTAAAGGACGCCTGAGTGCGCTGGTATCTGACGCCGAGGGACACTAACTGAGCACGGCATTTGACGAGTTTGGAGAGAGACCAGGTTGAAAGATTATGTTTGGCTTAAAATACCCAGTTTTAGTGGCAGAATAATATTTTCTTCTGGTGGCTGTTTGCTGAGCAGGTTGTGTCAGTTTTTAAAGCTTCTTCTCAGAAAACAGCCGCCTGCTGCTGCTGAAAGTGACGCTGTGAGAACCACGGGAGTGAATCAAAAAATTAAAGTTGCCGATCAGAATCTAAAACGAAGAGCTGAGAGAAACTATACCTTTATTGACCATTCTGTGTGGGCCTGTCTGCACAGGCCATGCCTTTCATGTTGGACTTTGATCTATTGATTTATTGTTAATGATAAACAAATATTGATTATGGCAGCTTTAACCTCTCCAAGGCTCTGCAAATCTAAATTACTCGATCTCATGCTCAGTCACACTGCTTCATTTTCAGAGAAGAAACGGGAAACACAGGTTTGAATTGTTGTTTTAATGAAAAAGTGCCAAATATTCTTTGATTCCAGCAGCAGCTCTAATTGAGGATTTTCAGATTTGCCTTGTTTTATATCTTTGTTAACTGAATGTATTTGATTTTTGAATTCAAGTTTTAAGACTTCTCCTCGGACTCTGGGGAGTTGTGTATTTTTCCACATCATTGTCCAACATTTTATTGGCTCTAGTGAGTGGCCATCCTGGCTCTGATTTTGCAGCACCGGGGGACCTCCATCCTCCCTGGCACTCCTCCTCCTCCTGCTCGTTTTAATCCAAAATTAATATTTTACACAACACATCATATTATCAGACGTGATATTCTGCTCACATGAAGGAGAAGGGATGGCTGGCGTCTAATATCCATATCACCGAGGCTTTGAGTGCAAAAAACGCTTTATGCACACTGCGCTAAAGCTTTCTTTAGACCCAGTGACGTGCAAAGAGGCATTATTCAGAAGATGCTTTAATCCAAGGTGACAGTGCCCTCCCCTGAGTGTGCCATCTCGTGAAGTGTCAGAGGTGGCAACAAGGCGACCATGGCAAACTGGGTTATGTGGTTAGGAGCCGACTCATTAATGTACTCCTTGTTGGACACAGTGTACCTAAACCACTGTATGTACACCTGTCTATGAGACGAGCAGAAATATATGATTTTAATCAAGGTGGCAGGTGTCATGCATGCTTTAGTGGAATTTGTTTTGGGCTTGATGTGGATTTTCTGAAAGGCCACCTGGGTTTGTGTAAGACCGTAATCCCTTTTTTCCTGCAGCTGGAGGAGTTCACCATCAAGCAGACTGTAGTTCACCCCCTCCTCCCCTTCCTCCTCCTCCTCTTCCTCCTCCTCCTCCTCCTCATCTAATCTGAAATGCAATTTATCTTCAATCTAGACATGTCACATCCCCTGGAAACTCTATACATGCCCACTGACTGCCGGCTGTGTGTGTTTCCTGAGGGTCATTCCAGATGCATGCTCGCTGACAAAGCAGGCGTTTGCTGCATGTTTGGGTGTTGCACATTTATATGATGAACATGCACTCTGTCCCCCTCAAAGGTCCAGCAGATAAATGTGCTATTCTCTCCACACGAGTGCATTCGGTGATGAGAACGTGTAACCTACAGACTCCCTGCAAGATGAGTTCTCAGACTTGGGTGGGAGGAAGGAACGAGGTTAAAGGTGTCTGTTCTTTTTCTGCTTAAAGAGAGGGTAATATGGGAGGGACTGAAATCAATAAAACAATCAGCCAAGTGATTGGAAAATAATTTGTTTTAATAAACAATTAATCTTTTGAGTCATTTATGAAGCAGAAAAGCCAAATATTAACCATCAAATGTTGACATTGTGCTTTTCTACAAGTACGTCTCATGATGTAATGACGTTACATATAGGCTGCTCATCAGGAGGTGGAGGGGATGGTGGATGGCACGATACCTACACAAGATGGCTGCCAAGCTGCAGACCACCGTTTGAGACCAACAGAGAAAAAAAAGGTTGTGATTTAGTGAGTCATTGCTGTGTTCCCAGCAGCTTTCAGGCACCAAACATGGGTGTTTTGTAGCAACTCGTTGCTGTTTTTCCAGTGGGAACAGTGCAATGAAAAACTGTTGTTTTTTTATTGAGACATAGCTGCCTTTCCTCCCAAGATAGGAGCCCC